GAGATCAAAAAGATTACAAGTAGTAATGGTGATAACTAAATTCTAGTTGTGATAAGAACAAATGAAATGATAACAAAATGAATGAATGCAGAATTCGAATACTAACATTATGTTGCTAAACAATAAACAGTATATTTCACGTATTTTTTCACGTTTTATATTCATCACTTCTATCAAAAAATATTTGTCACATTCTCTGCGTGACAGTTTAAAAGTAATATCGAGAATAAATCGCAATAATACAGTAAGAATGAGCAAATTATTTTGCTCATTTATTTTGTTCAGTTTTTTCCAGAAACATTCTATTCAATCCTAACTTTAATAATTGTGTTAAGTTAAATGAGTGCTAAATGAAAATTTCATACTGAATAATACTGAAAAATGATTTCATTCAAATTATAAGGCTGAAATTTTAGTCATTATGAATGAAAAGTATAAATTTAATTTGTAACTAAATATTTTTATTATTATTTCTCTGCCAAAGTTATTAGCAGCAATCAAACATAATTTGCATGTTCAGTGCTAAGTTTTATTAAAAGGAAAAAAAAAAAGATTGAGTTATTGAAAATTTAACTGAATAGAAAACTCAAAAAATCAGCTAACTGAATAATACATTGTGTACAACTTATCAATTGAATCTTATCAATTATTTTAAAAAAATAAGGAAAAAATGAAATTATCAATCAATAAGTTTCGAATAAAATTTATGAAAACAAAAAGCTAAAATGATAGTGAATTAAGAACAAAAAAGAAAATACTTATGTAAATAGTAATCAAAAGCTACCAAAGTATAATAAGCAAAATTTAATTGCAATGCTAATATTATGCTATTAGCATAGCAAAGATTATCAATTTATTTAATTATTTCTTTGCTATTATAGTTGTTATTATAAAGTGCATTACTGAATTTCATTTAAAAATCTTTTTCAAAATTTAAATTCTAAAGATTGCACTGAAATTATAAGTAAAACATTTAACTTACATTTATGATATCATATAATGATCCTGGAATTTTATCACTAATATGCATAGATATACGAAAGTTTGATTTTTTTTTACAATTTTTTTTACAATTTAAATTTGAAACAATTTTTTTTTTCCTCCAATAATGTTTGTTGGACTCTTTTCATTGCACGTGGAAAATTTTTCATTTCGCTACTTTTTTGGTAAAAATCAAAAAAATAAAAAAATTACATAAATAATTGAAAGCTTTTTAAATTGTGGTATAATTTCTTATTTCTACTATGATAGAAATAGGAAATTAACAAACATTGTAAGTAATGATATAGATTGATAATGGGAGTAATGTGATGACAGAAAAATTTTTAAATTTTTTACAGTAGCCATTTTCATTTTCAAATTTAGCCGCAAAGTTTAAAAACTTTATTTGATATTTAATTCAATGGAATTGTAATTTATGTTTCAAAAATAATTGAATACTTAAATTCTTCGCATTGATGATTGTTCGTCTTTTTGCATTATTTCAATTTAGCTAATATTCTTTCAATCTTTGATTTTATAGCTTGCTTCATGCCACTAGATCATGCATCATGCAGGTTGCATCATGCATAAAGTAAGTGAAATGATTCGGCTTATATTAATTAACCACAAAATTGTGTCTATTTAATTAATTCACAATTAAATTTGATTTAAGTATGTAAGCTAGACAAATTTTTGAAATTTCCCACTGTTTACTGTAATTACAAGAAATGAAGCATAATAGTTTGTTAAATAGAGCCTTGAAATTGCTGAATTGTAGAGGACATAACTGTAAAATTCATTTCTTATTAGCCATATTCTATTATAAATGAATTTCAAGTATTTTTAAACTCTAAAATATTTTGCAGTAAGTTCCACTGTTAGCCAGAAAGTATCAGAAGATTCGTCTAAAGAAGGAACTATGAAAATTTGAATCTGTATGACACCGAGAAAATATCAATTTGAGTTACATATTTAAAGAATTGTCCCAATTTTAGTCACAGATATTGAAGTTTTCATTTTTCCTTTGTTTTTTAAATAACAAATTTAGATTTACTCATTTCACGTCATTACGTAATCTTTAGACCAAAATTTAAATTAGCATTAGAAAATGTGACGCTACTGAGAAAGTTATAAGAATTAACGAATATTTCGACTTTTTTTTTTCTCTTACTTTCATGTAAAATTGCTCAAAATGTCAACAACATGAATTTCTGTCGTACCAAAAATTCATTTTTGCCTTACAATTAAGTGTGATTGTTCATATATACTTTTATATTCTGTAAACATTTCTTGAAGCATCAAAATTTAATCATTTCACTTGACAAATTTTTGGATGAAATGAAAGAAAAAAAAAGAAAGAAAGGAAAGAAGAAACTGCAAATGATTTGTTAAATTTTAAAATTTCATACAAATATCTCATTTGAAGAAATTAAATTTTGTTATTTCTTTGTTTGTATGAAGCAAAAGTAATACTGTAATATCTCATTTATTTTACATCAAAGTTCTGAAATTCGTAAAAAACTGTCAATTAATGAAATGTACTTTGAAAAAAAAAAAAAAAACATAATCAACATTTACATATAAAGTTATTAAGTTATTAATTTTTCATAAATCAATATTTTCACTTGCATTATTCGCTTACTTATGCTTAAAATTGTTTAAGAATAACAATAAAAGCACGCAATGCTATTGAAACTTTTTTTTTTTGGTGAAATTCGAAAATATTTCAAACAATGTTTTGGCTGTAATTAATGTGTAAAATTGAAAGGAGAAAGTTGCAAATAATCAAATGATAAGAATGTGATATGATAAGAATGAATTAGTTAAGTTAATATAAAATGTGTTATAGTGTGAACAATATCAGCAATATAGCATAATGTTATTTAAAAAAAACTTATTTTTCTTTCTAAAATCATTTTGTTTTTTTTTTTAATGAAAAAAATTTTAACCGGAAAAACCTTTTAATATGTAAATATATGAACAATATAAAGGTATTTGATGGTGGAATTTTCACTAGAATTTTTTTATCAGTTTCCTGAAAATTACTTATTTTTAGAAGGTATGCTAATCTATGTTATAACTATAGCATTATCAAAAATATTGAATGTCTAGTAGACCTAGAAAATTCTAATTCGAAAAAAAATATTTATTTTAAAATATTGACTGTTTAGCAAGCATAGAAAATTCTAGAAAAAAAAGCATATAAAGTTAGCTATTTCCTACGGAAGGAATCAATTCATATCCAAATTGGGAATTAAAAAAGAACAATTATAATTTAATTTTTAAATATCAAATATTTGGCAAAAGTCTTTCGTTTTTTTTTTTTTTTTTGTTAAATATTTCTTTATTTGACTTTTTTTTATGCTGTAAATAAAATTTTTTTAGATTTCTTAAATTTACTTTGAACTTTTCTCATGCAGTAAAGCAAAGCAATTTTTTCTTTCTTAATTTTGTTTTTCAATTTTAAAAGAATAAAATTTTTCTCTGTTAAATAAATATAGCAGTCATTCTATTAAATAAAATCGCAAATCGCAGTTAAACTAAGACCTTCCGTAAGTGAATATATCCATAGATCAAAATTCATCCTTGGATAGATAATTTCAATTTATGCGTTAGTCCTAAAAAAGAAATCTTGAAATACTAACTAACTCATCCATTCATTTTTAATTTATGAAAAGTTCAGGATAAACTTTATCTTTTATCAGCCAATATTTACTTCTGCTGTGCTCTTCAATTTGATAAAGTGAACAAATAAAATAAATTTGTTTTTTCTAAACAGAAATGATTTGTTTTGAATAAATCAGCTGTGTAAACTTTTCAGAAAGCGAAAGAAACGAAAGCAATGTTTTGCTACACTTCCATAAAATTTGATTCTAGATTATCAAATCTAATTTTAATTAAGTGTTAAATCTGCTAAAAATAGCAATTCATTAAAAAGCTGATTATTTCATATGCATTGCACCAGAGCTGGTCATATATGGTGTGATTATTTTATAGTTTAAATATTAAAACACGCTTTTGTAATTAAGTTTTGCGCAAAAATTCACCTGCAAAATTAATAAAACTTTCAATTAATCATGGTTTTAATTCAATTTAAGAATTAAAACTAAATTTTATTTCAAATTTAAATTTTGAATTTTTTAAAAATCTTAAAATTTGTAATAGTTTTTGTACATTAAACAAGAAAACAATTCTAGTTATTATCAAATTTTTGTTTTAATTAAAAAGTAATCGTGAAATACTAAATAACTCATCCATTCATTTCTAATTTATGAAAAGTTCAGGATAAACTTTATCTTTTATCAGCCAATATTTACTTCTGCTGTGCTCTTCAATTTGATAAAGTGAACAAATAAAATAAATTTGTTTTTTCTAAACAGAAATGATTTGTTTTGAATAAATCAGCTGTATAAACTTTTCAGAAAGCGAAAGAAACGAAAGCAATGTTTTGCTACACTTCCATAAAAGAAACTAAAACAGAAGCAATCAAATTTCTTTCTTTCCATATTCTCTCAAATGCGAGAAACAAAAAAAAATGGACACATCTGCTGTATTGTACACTCAAATATTATTTATAAACAGGTTAATTATTAGCTTATACAGGTATATTCCTCTTCAACCTTTCAGTATCTTTTCAGGAAAACCTAACTGATCATATTTAGCAAAACAATTGAGTTTTTTGTTAAACGAATTAACTGAATTCTTCTTTTCTTGTTTTTTTTTTTTTTTTTTTTTTTTGAAGAAGAAGAAGAAGCTAATTAAGTAGAAAAGAAGTAGGAGAAAAATAAATATACAAAATAATAATTGAAATTAATTTAACCTGATTTATGTGGAAAAAAAAAAAACTGAATTGTTGTTTGAAATTGATTTACATTTCCGTCCCTTATAAAGATGAATAAGTAAAATAAAAAAAAAAAGGACGAAATTTTGTTCTAATTATTTGAAAATTTACACGTTACGTATTAATCACTTCACGTTTATGGAATTAATGAATGTTTGATTTTTTTTAGAAATAAAAAATGAACAAACTTTTAATAGTTTTTGGCTTGGTAATTCTTTTTGTCACACCACTTTATGCAAAACAGTCAATTGAAGAGGAAGAAGAAGAGGTAACTTTCTTCAATTTAATTTCTTAATTTGAATTTTTTATTTATTTAAATTACTAAATTGAAAAAAAAAAGAAATTATAAGTAAATTAGAAAGACTAAAGTATTACTCTTTAAGCTTAGAGCAGAAATTTATTCCAAAACAGAAGCGTAATTTACGTGAATAGAATGAAAGTCTCAATGATTTCAGATGAGTGACGAAGAGGAGGAAGAGAAGGAGGAAGAGGAAGAAGAGAATGGAAATGAAGAGAAAGAGGATGAAGATGATGATTATTATCAAGATGATAGTGATGAGAAAGAGGAGGATGAAGAGAAGGAGGAGGATGAAGACGAGGATGGTAGTGAAGAGAAAGAGGATGAAGATGATGATTATCAAGATGATAGTGATGAGAAAGAGGAGGATGAAGACGAGGATGATAGTGAAGAGAAAGAGGATGAAGAAGAAGATAAGGATGATAGTGAAGAGAGAGAAGACGAATATACTGCCAAAGGGGAATTCGTTGAAACAGACGGCAAGCAAGTGGTTTTGACCTTTCAGTAGTTTGAACTTTAACAATTTTACGAGAATTTTACTTCTTAGCCATAAACAATTCCCACCTTTCCGCAGTATAATCGAAGCTCATTTTGGCCCTTTTTATTTACTTTGAAATATTTTCTTTATATAAAATGGAACACTAATTATAAATGATTCCACTTCAATTCCACTGTATTTCACTTCAGTTTATTGCAGGAAGAAACGATGTGACTCTCACGTGGCTTGTTATGATCAACGTGAACCACAAGCGTGGTGCATATTAAAGAGGAATCAGTCTTGGACGTAAGTCTACGTCTCAGTTAGTTTTATTATTAAAAAATTGGATAAAAATTATCAGTGAATTGAGAACGCTCTGTTATAGAAACAAAGGTTGTTTCTGCGATGAAAAGAGACATTTATGCGTTATGGAACGGTTGAACGGCGGTAAATTGGAATATGCGTTTTGCGCGCCTGCAAAGAATTGGAAGTGTTCGTATGATTAATAGTAACCTACGATATTCATCCATTTCCTATTTTAATATTTCAATTCCTTCTAGCAACTTGCAATGTCAGTTATACACTTTAACTTTTATTCAATGTAATCTTCTAAATGAAATCATATGTAAGCATATAAAACGAGCAGTGACGATGATAATTCGAACGAAATAAACTAATAATCAATTTCTTATCAACTAGTATCAGTGATAGCCCAATGAAAGATCTAACCTTACTAGTTTTTCAGCTCATAATAATATCCCAATAATTGATTATGTCCAAACCAAACATATTAATAGTATTAGTCATTTCATCTCTTTGTAACTTTCCGCTTTTTTCATTCCTTTCTGTTTCACTTTTTATTTGCTTGGAGACTGATCGTCCGTTTCATATGAATCAAATCATTAGTGTCTCAGATCAATCAGATCATTGACTTTCAGTATGGCTTAAATCATTTTTAGCTTTCATAGGAAATACAAGAGTCTATCAACTGCCACAAGGTTTCATTGCCAAGAATTATGGGTTTGAATTTTGGAAAAATACTTTCATTCGTATGATCCAATGTTTGAATCGCTCATTTCTGAGCTTAATTTGCAAATCATAAGTTAATTTTGCTACTTAGCTAATGAAGTTTCTACGGCAATTTATTTTCTTTGCTTTAAGTCTCTCAAAAGTAATAACCAATTCTTATAATATAAAGCAAAACAATTAGATAATTACCGTATAAAACACGAAAGATTGAAAAATGGTCACTTCCTGGTTTCTGTTAAATTCTTCGATGCCAAGAATTGGAGACATTTCGCCTTCTTCCAATAATCAGTAGAAAGGAGATAATTCAGTGCGTATGTTAATGAGATACAATGCTTCCGAGAAACTATTCAAATGGATATGTTATCATCACTTATTTTTATAAGTGATGAAAACGGTCATTGAAATGATTTTATGCTTTGATAGCCATAAATGATTTATAGTTCGATCAGAAATAAGTGAGTTCTGATCAATTACTTCAAATATAATTTGTGTGTGATAAAATTTACTAATTATTGAAGAGATAATACTAAATGCATATGTTGTGGAGACAAATTAAATATATGTGTGCATGTGATTCAAAAAACTTCAAATATGGTTACAATACTAATTCATTTCTTGATAAGGGTCAGATTTTCCACAAATTTTTATAAATTAATTACAACCATTACTCTTTTCTTTAATATTGTTCAACTTTTGATAATCTGTGCTTTGAGAGTTTTCAAAAGTGCGTTATTTCTTAATAAAAATGAAAACTGCTATCAGAAATGTAAAAACAACATAGTATCAATACATAGAATCAGATTAAACTGATATATCATTTTGAAATTTGTGAGTGATAATCACACCTTGAATTGACTTTATTAGTTTATTCAATGATTATGTCAGAATTCGATATCACTCATATAAAATACAGTTATCGAAACAATTGAATTTATTTCTAATATATTAATAAATACAAAGCTTTAAAGCAAGAAATATTTCTAGATATGGCAAATGTCAATTTTAATATTTTATTTCAAACATATAAATATTAGCAAAAAATTTATTAATATTAATCCGATCGTATTAGTAAGAATTTCAAGCAGCTATTATGCTTATCTGTCGATGGTATGATAGAAATAATCAGTTATCACTGCATATGTCAGAAGTTTTAAGAGAATCAAATACATATAGCATATTCTAATCAAAGGACCGAAATTTAGATCCTAAAAGATATTGTCAAAAAATACGTCTATACGTATCGTTTTATACTTCAGGCTAATATTACCTGTCATGCTACTGTCACACTGTTACGTATGTTTTAGTATGTTAACCTTATTTTTTAACAATCCAATTCTCAATCTCAACCAGCCATATAAATGATGTTTTATAATGTTATGCGATTGCTTACAGTAAATAAAATGAATAGTAGGCAATACGGAGCAACTGAAGATGATGAAGCAATTTATGAAAATTCTCGATGGTATATCAGCTTCTTTGCCGAAAATACTACGGACAATTGGAAAGAGAAATATAAAAACAATGGTTTGAATTTCCAATACACTACAGTGCCATGCAGCCTGAATTAACATCGACCATTCATAATGAGGAATTTTTGTTGCATTTTTTTCATATTTGATATGTGTAACTCCTGAAAATATTAATTTATTGATGGAATTAGTTAAAATTGATGAAAAATTTTTTGGAAATTTAATAATTTTTATAGTAAATTTTTGAAATGATTTTTGGAGCGATTAATAGATCTTATGAATATATATTATGAAAAAAGATAAAAAAATTTGGTGTACAAACTTTGATCTTGATTGTTATTTATATTAAAATGCCTTTTGCGACGTATGCAGTAGAAGATCACAATTTGTATAATGAACATAACGCTGGGTATGGACAAAGCCCAAAAAGTACGTATCCTATAAGAATAATAAACAAATAGTCGTTTTAAAACATTAAAACTAATTGCAGCAGTAAAATGGTAAAAATAAAATATCAAGTTCATCAAAATAAGCATCAATGGAAAAAAAAATCTCGTGAGAAAATCTATGATCTAGTGGTCTAAAGTTCAAAACTTAAATTCAAGGCTTAATGAAATTTATACTAATGATATTAAAAGGTAACCTCCACCAAATTAGCCTTCCATTTGTTCCTGCACAATTTAGGCTCCATTTCAAATTCGAGACAATGAATATTCTGAAGCAAAATTGAAAATCCAGAAACATGACCGCTGAAAATTCACTAAATATGTTAAAATACAAGAATTGATAAATCAAATATGAATGGATCAGCTTTGATGAAATTCGATTTTTAAAATCCAGTTGCTCAAAAGATATAAATTTATTGTTTAAGAAAAAAAATCATTTGATTATATAGGAATGAATCATACCAAAAGCTGATAACCACATGAAAGCGATTAGAAAATACAGTTTTTTTGATTCGAAAAACGAGCAATATTTGGGTAAAATTAGCACCACAAAGCGATTCAGTGTCAACAAAAATGAAAAATGAAGCATAGAAAAGAATGAAAAGCTATCTAAAGTTGAAAATAAGCGGTTCAACCACGTCGTTTCATTTGCTAAAACATAAGCAAACTAGTTATTTAAAAAAAATTTTTTTCTCCTTGCTTGTTGTAATGAAATTCTTTTAGCTTAATATACTTAAAAAATCTTTACATGCAAAAATGTCCATATATCATTTATTATTATTTTGTAATTATTATTAGAAATTGAATATATTTGCTGCATGTCATTAGCAATAATTACTCTTTTTCAATATCATCTTTTAAAGAAATTATTTAAATTAATATTTTAGTTGATATCAAAATAAATAATATTTGAGAAATGTAAATAAAGCAACTCTTACCATATGAATTGTTTTGAGCACTTAATATTCTAGGTACAATAATAACCACTTGTGGGATTAAAGTTATTAAATCAGAAATAATCAGTTGTAATGCAATAGAAATAAATTCACGACTGTAATGATTATCTTGTCCTTTACAGAATAATACGATAATCATTAGAGTATTACTAATAATACCGTAAAGTATGAAAATCATAAAAAGTAAAACTGTTACAAATTTTGTGGTCGTGTGATCTTCATTTCTTATATCAAACACATCTGTGACATTTATTTCGTGGCAATTACAGCGTAATATCAGAAATAATACAATAATACAGTGTAAGCGACCAAGCATCCTGTTAATTGTTTAAAATTTCAGCTTACTGAAATACCAGCTGACGAAATTTGCAAGTTTAAATTAGAGAAATAGTTAAAGTAGTCGATGGGGAAAGATTATTATAATTTTAAGAAGCGCTTGTGATTTATTCGCGAAATGAGATTTTTACTTTCTTTGCTATTTTATAAAACTGCCAATAATAATAATATCACAGCTACTTGCTTATATCTGTAGGATCAAATATTTGCAACAATTTTTTCTGAGCTTAATTTGCTAATTATAAATTTGCTTAATTACTCAACCAATTTCATTTCCATAACAATTTATACTCTTTGTTTTATATGTCTCTCAGAAGTAATTAGTCAGCTGACGATATAAGGCAAAATAAATTAACGGCGATATGAGTGAAGTAAATATCGCTGTTTTACCGTATCCTTCCGTATCTCCTCAAGGTATCTTTACCGTATCTCTTCAAATCGATCCTTGAAAATGTAATTTGAAGAATTTCTATACCACTGAAATAGCAGTATTTCTGGATGATTTTGTAATTAGCAATTATCCCTTATTAGCTATTTGAAAAATATTTGTTAATTACGTAGGATTATTTGCGCGTCTGAGATAATCATCTTCACGTAAGCATAACGTGTTCATCGACGTAGTTGTTAATTTTGTTACGCATTTGCCATTAAGCTTATAATATTCGTTCAATAGCAACGAAAAAAACTCGTCAAATTTTATATTAATGAATTAATTCAAATATTTGAAATAATAATAAATTATACACTTATGAAAAACCAACCACAATTTTTAATCATTTTTAATCGATTTAATAAAAAGTGGTAATTGAGATTTCGGTAAATTCCTGTATTCAACAAATAATTATCTTTTAATTCAAGTTTTCCAGTTTCCAATTTGATGTAAATAAATCGCTTAATCAGTTGTTCTTTTTCGGATGGCTTAAACATGAAAAAAAAATTATATTTGTTGTGAAATTTGATCAACTCATGAGATGATCAACTATATTTTGATCAACTCACTATATTTGATATTTGCGCCATGCATCCTTTTTCATCGAAATCTATTGATAGGAAATAAAAAAAAAAAGGCAATGATTTATTTCATTTTGGTGACAAAAACTTTTTAGAAAGTTTGAATTGCTATTGGCAGTAGTGTTCCTGAATGATATCATTTTTACTGATTATCAGAAATAAACAACTGAAATGATGTTGCATTGGAGGAATTGAATCTAAGTTAGATAGTGATTTTCCAATCTACTTTCATTTACGCAATAACTGGCTAATTGTTTTCAATTTATTTCATTTTATATCGTCACGATTGGTTGATTACTTTTGAGAAGCTTATACAACAAGCAAAATAATTTGTCATAAGAGCTTAACTAGTTGAATAGCGAAATTAATTCATAATTTGCAAATTAAGCTCTGAAAAGAGAGGTTGAAACACTTAATCATATAGATTTGGCAAATAAAGGCAAATCATTTTTTTTTCCGGAATTCAAACTCTCCATTACTAAAGTTTTACGTTTCCAATTTCGGCGAAAGCTAAAACTGAACTTCGACAATCTGATTCATATCAAAAAACTTAATGATCTGATTTATAATAAAAATTTAATGATTTATTTTACATCACCAAAAGTAAGAAGCAATTAATCGAATACCATTTTACTCAGATCATAGTACTGGAGAAATAAGTTATACTTTCAGCACAAAAGTAATTCTATTCTAGTTGCAAAGAGTGAAAATTTTCTCTTTGTCGAGAGAAATTAATTGACTTAGAGTTCGTAGTATCGTGTTTCTGAAATTAAGAAAGTCATGTATCTGAACATGATTAAAGTTTAAGAGATGGTTTCGAACTTCTTTTTTATCTTGTTCAACTCTGTGATTTCATTTTAAAACAGAAAAATATATAACTAACATGTTTTTTTTTTTTTTTTTTCATATTCAAATTAGAAATTTTCAACTGTAATTCTTTTTGTTTGTCTTCTTTGTTCTGTTTTAAATAGTTCGGCATTAATTTCATTTATGTTTTATTTTTAACACAAAAAATCGTTGATATATTTTATTCACTCTGTTGATATATATTTTATTCGAAGAGTTTTGTGATAAATTTGAAATGTGGATGAAATAATTACTTTGTACTGTGCAATACTTATTTAAACGAATACGGAATGCATTGCAATCATTTCATTGCCCACTGTGAAAGTAGCCAAAAGAGTTGCTTCGTCATTCAGTAACATAGGAAATATTGAAATTATCAATGAAATCTAGAAATAGCATTTTAGGAAGATTAATTGAAATTTTCAGGATAGCAAATTTTTTAATCTATTTTTTTTTACGCAATAATTACTTAATTATTCATTAAATTTAATCTGATTTATATCGCGCATTTTGGTTGATTACTTCTGAAAGAGTTATATATTAAAGAAGAGAAATTACATATAAAATGAATTAGCTATAATAGTAGTAAAATCAATTTATCACATGCAAAATTAAGCTCAGAGAAGGAGCAATTTAAAATACAAAATAAAAACAATGACGAAAGCGAAACATTTATTATTGCAGTTTCTATGACAGTAGAAAAGGAGCGGAAAAACTCATTTCGATATCAAATTATGATTGCTACGTAAATAATTAACTGCATTTCTCATCATTGACGATTGTATTTATACTATTTAGAAATTTGAACTCACAAATCTTTGCAGCTTATATTTCAAAATTCTGAATTTTCTTTTTTTTTTTTTTCACTGGTTTAAAATTTCTTTCTTTCTACTAAAATCTACTAAAATACTATCACATTTATATTATATAATTGTATCATTTCAACATATCAGGAAAGAAATATGTCAGATTCAATTGATATAACAGATGGAAATCACAGGACTGCAAAATTTGTGGCACTTCTATTTTTTATTATTTTCATATTTTATGGTATTATAAGTAATACACTAATGGCTGCTGTATTATTCTGTAAAGAACAAAGCAAACATTATAGTCGTGAATTTATTCTTATCACATCACAACTGATTATTTCTGATTTGACAACTTTTATTCCACAAATAGTTGTTGTTTTACCTGAAATATTAACTGCTAGAAACAATTCATATGGTAAAAGTTGTTTTACTTGCATTTCTCAGATATCATTTATTTACTAAAGAGGTTGTCGCTAGTGAAATTGTCATTAAAATGAGCCATTTTTAATTCTTGATATCACTGATAGCAATGAATATTGAACAATTTCATATTTTTCATAAAAAAGAAATCATTAAAACATTTCTATTTTATTAATAATAACCGCGACAAATACATCCAAAATAGCAAATTTGGGATGCAAAATTAAATCATTTTTTTCCATTTTCTTTAAAAGAAAATTTAAAAAAAATTTTTTTTCATAACATTTTTAAATATAAGTGATACCAGTTTTTTATGAGGAACTTTTTTTTTTTTTAACTTTCATATTTATTTTAAATGATAATATTTTCATTAAAATAACAAATTTTTCTTTAATAACCAATATTTTAGTGAATGAAACAACGTGGATTAATCACTCATTCTCAACTTTCAATACTTTTTCACTTTTTTCCGTACTTCATTTTTCATTTCTATTAACACTGAATCGTTTTGTGGCACTAATTTTACCAAAATATTATTCGCTTTTCGAGTCAATAAGGCTATATTATGTGTTCGCTTTTGTATGGTTATCAGCTTTAGGTATGAATCATTAAAATATCATTCATATAATTGTAAAAATATTTTTATTCAAATAATATTTTCTATCTTCTTTTTTAAAATAATTTATAGATTTAGCAATATCAACCCTTAAATAGAAATTCCATTATGCACAATCATCTTTAAATACTATTCAGTTATACATTCATTATATTAAAAATAATTAAAATAAGGTAGATCTGAAAAAAAAAGAAACTGTTTTATCAAAATTGATTTATTGATAAGTTTCTTGATTCTTATCAGTATTGCTAATATTTAATGCTAATTTTCAGCAATTACATCGGCCGATTTTTATTATTGCACCAGACGATTTCTTATATGGAACTTAAGTTGGGAAGGAAATTGTGGAAAATCTGGTGAAATAGGCGATATATGGTGGAGGTTATCATTTAATATCACTTTTGTAGTTAACAAAATTCTGTAATTTTATTACAATCAAAAAATTTTTTATTCTACAATAATCTATCAGTAACTTTTAATTACATTCATAATTATCATTTTTTAATTTCTTTTAAAATCATTTTTTTTTTTTTAGAATACGTTATGTTTGGGCATTGTGTATACCTAATATAATGTTTATTATGTATATCGCAATATTTTGCAACATACGTCATAAACGTCATATTACGATAAATAGTAATAAAAGTTTGTGTTACAAAATTATTCCTTCTTTTTACAGTAAATGTAACTATTTAATTACTGAAAAGTTCACTTCGAAAATTTATACTTTTGTTAAATCATAAATCATTTCTCTATTCATAAATTATTTCACAGTTAAAAATTGACAACAGGTGCCAGACGTGAAAGAAATGCAGTGAAAATTCGTCATTATGAATGGTCAATGTTAGTTCAAGCTGCATGGCATTGTGGCACATTGGAAATTGGCATGATTCTTTTTAACTTTTTGCCACCCATTTTAACTAAATTTTTCAGTCAGGAAGTTTGTTTAGCAGCAAGAATTTTCTTAAACTGTTTTGTTTTATTTAGTTGCGCTCTATTGCCAACTGTATATTTCAGTTACAATAAGGAATCGCGTAATATCATAAAATATCATTTATATAATTGGTTACAATTTAGAATTGGACGGTTAAGAAATATAGTCAGTATTTATAGTACTAGAACACAAACAGTATATAGTAATAGATAGATAGATGGTAGTGATAAGAGTAATGATCTGAAGCTTAAAATGGTATGTTTGAAAATATTTTTTTGAGAGTGGTAACTCTCAAAAAAATTGGAATTCATTCCTAACACATAACGACTTCCGGATGGGGGGTTTAGCTATAATCCATTTCTTTATTACCGCATTCAAACTGCATATGATCGGTTTAATTTTAATAAATTTTGTTTCTTTTTTTTTTCTTTTTGTGAGAATCTGCATGGTTATTTTGTCATTCATTTATTAATTGTCAAAAATTTTATCATTCATTTTGTCATTCATTAATTTATGTTTATGTCTTAAAAACACACTTATGTTTATTATTGCTATCGATGGTTAATTAAGGTAAATTATTTTCAGTCGTGTATTTTATATTAATTCTGCTAGCAGTTTCAATTTTGATTTTAAAATAGAATTAAAATAGAATAATTTTGAAGACTTTAAAAAAGCAGAGCTTGTTAAAAATTCAATGATATTAAAAAACTACACCTCTCGTAATGTTTGCAGTGGATTTATAAGAATGTATGAATTATCATTGAAATGAATAAGCATTTCAATTATCATTGAAATGAATAAGCACCATAATTATTTGTTTTTATTCCTACATTTGGGCTGAAAATTTTTGAACTTTAAACCGTCACGATAATTGATAATTCATACACATCTGTTTGATATTATTATTATTGCGGTAATGGAACATAAACAATCATAATGATAACTGATTTGTTTGAAGTATTTTATGATGTTAAACTTTTTCATTTTCAGTTCAATTCATTTTTTTTCTGTGATAAAAGTAAGAAAGTGTATGATTTAATAAATTGAAATGGAACTGAATGTTTAATTTTTATGAATTTTTTTTTTTCAATGAAATCATATAATGCGCTTTGGATAGATCAAAATAATGATTCATTTGTATTTTGGACAAAAAGATTCAAGGTAAAGAAAAGACGACATTTGCGCCTGTAACGATACTTTTAGATGAAGTGACCCGGTCAACATGTTTCTGGACAGAGTTAAGATCAAGCTAATTCGAGAAGAAAAAAGCCAGCAACATAATTCTTCGAAATGAGTATTGATAAAATGATGTAATAATATTAGCATAAATGAGTCATTTATGATAATATCACTTGGAATATTGTAAAAAATTAACCTAAATTTGTTAATGTTTTATGTTCATAAATATTACATAAATGAAATTTTAAGTTATCTTTGCTATTGATAAAAGCAAACAATAATTTCTTCGATTCAGACATAATTTCGCTTTCATTAAACAATTCTAGTAAATTTAATGATAAACAAATACTTGATTAGAGATGCTTTTTTGTTGTGTAACAATTACTTTTGCTTTACATTGTGAGGGTTATCAGTGAATTCTTCATTTAAACTTTCTTGAAATGCAGTACCTTTCACAATTAATGCAAAGCATTACGCTGACAGATTACATTTAAGGCCTCTATTCCATAATATCCAAATTTTGATGCATATTTATCAAAAGTATCATAAAATTTGAATTAATTTTAACTGTAAAGTCTGTGAATTTGTTAATTGTGATAACAGATTTTTTGTAAAATGTAGGAAATGAATTAGCACAAAATACAACCTTTTCTGTTTACACTTTTCATTTCATCGCTTTATTCATTTATTTCAGTTCCAAATTAAAGCGATTGTATTATTTACAACCAGCAATATGCCTTCTTCAAGATAAGAGACATTTTAATATGAGTTTAGTTGACAGAAATTAAATAATAATCAACTTTTAAATATCAATATGAGCATTAGAAGTTAGAAATTCATGTAACTCTGACGTGTTATATCCATTATCAGAAAATTATTTAAACAACAAATATTGTCTTTTATTTATTTATATAATTGCTGAATAGTGAAAATATTTCAAAACTAACTTAACCGTATTACATAGTGAACGAAATGAACGAAAGGAATGCACTGCGCATCGAGAAGCATTGAATGCAAGAAATTTTCTTCTAAAACCAATTTTTTTGCAAAAATATCTCCATGATTTTATCATATCATAAATCATTTAACTATTGATAGTACTTAGAAAAGAAGATAATGCTTGCAAAATAAGATCATATACAGATCTAAGAAATAGAACTGATCCGCCAAATATCAAAAGTACCACGAATTCATTTTCTTTTTATCATAATCATTTCTCAAATTATCTAGTATCTTTATCTAGTAGCTTTTCTGATTTGTGAAATGTAAAATATTGTTGTAAAAGAAAATTTAGAATTTCTTTCTTACTGCCCTGTTTCCTTGTGAAACAAAGTAGCTTCCTTTCTTGATGGTTCAGATCGTTGACTTCTCTGTCCTCGATACTGGTAGAATCTCGAATTTGTACTGGTTCCGTTCAGTGTACGTGTACTGTGGGAGTCTTCGTGAAATACTTAATTATTCAAACCTCAAACTTGGGTAATTAAACCTTAGATTAACAATAAATATTATACAACATTACAACAATGAATTGATACATAACACACAAATGTAACTTAATTACAAAACATTTAAAGATATAAGCAAGCTAGACACCTCGCAACCGAGCCATACCAAACAAGGAACAATATTGAATGGCTTTGTAAGGAAGAAAATTGGGAGGGATTTTATGGATGTTAAGGTTACGAAGTGGATTAAAATCATTTAAAACAATGGCCTTTGTTCATTAGGTTATAGCTTCGCCATTGTGGCGACAATTGTTTTATCAATCCTCTTATCAATCTTAAAAAGTAGGTTATCAGTCTTATTTATCAATTTCTAGATTTTCATTCTACCTTACTAATCTTCAGAAGTAAATAGAGTTGCTTACGGGCATGTTTATTAGTCGCAAAAAGGGTCATAGGCAATACAGTACGACCTAAAATCAGAAATGAATTGATGAAAATATTCACTGGAATTATGATTTCTTGACCGAAAATTTTTAGCAGAAGTTTTGGTAGAAAATTGATTAATATGATTCCAATTATGAATACACCACAGGTCAGTGCTGCTTGAATTAACACCGATCGTTCGTATTTGGCAGTTTCTAGCCTACTCGTACCATGCCTTGTATTCATTGCTAAATGTTTTTTAAATTCTATATTTGCATTAAGCAATAAAATAAAATCTATAAAAGCAATAAAAATAAAAGTTTGTAAGATTTTATAAATTTTGTATAACTTTTGTACAAATTTTGTTTTCAGTGTTCGGTGAAAATGTAGAATTTTACACTGCTGATTGTGTGACAAAAAAGGAAAACAATTCATTAGCACCAACTTCGTGAGTCGTTAATAACTAAAGTTCGACGATGTCGTATATTGCAAAGAATTGCAAAATACATAACGAGCATTGAAATTGACAAAAAAATCACCCAAATATGACGAAAACTAAAATTTTATAAGAGTAATTAATGGATTTTAATTATTGCAACGCCTCCCATTATAAAATAAAAATGATAACTTAATTTTTTAACCTTTTGTTATGTTTACACTTTTATTATATTATTTGAATTACACAGAACTGCTCTAAAAAATTCAAAAAAAAAATGCTGAAATTTAACCTTAAAAAAAGTTTACCACCATTATTTGACTGTCTTGTACAGTTTTCTGTCCAGAGTAAGGTTGAAACTTCAAAACTTCTAGAACAGTAATTAAAATCCAGAAATGAAATTGCTGAAAATTTCAAGATTAATAATAGTGAATAAACAGGTCATAAATTTGGAACTTTGTGTTTGTAATTACAATAAATAAAATAGGTGGGAAATGATATTCCGAAAGCTACCAAAAATGTCACATGAAAGTGATAGCTATCAAAACTTTGCATGACATGACTGAGCAGTTGATGGTTTCCATATAAGATGAATGAACCATCTTTGACATACCAAAAACTGTTAACCATACGAAAATGATTAGAAAATACAGCTTTGTTGATTCGAATAGTACATTGAATTTCGGGAAAATAATAGACAGGAAGCGATTTAGCGTCCATAAAAATGCAAAATGTAATACGGCGTAAAATGAAGATGTATTGATCGTCGAGAACACACGGTTAATCCATATTTTGGAACCTAAGACATAAGACAAGATAGTTTATTGGAACAAATTTTAAAGTATTTGGATGAAAGCAATGTCAAATATCACTAACGTTGTACTTAAATATTTATAACGTTGTACTTAAACTGTCACCAACTATGAGTTCGAAATCAGTGGTGACACTTCCGATTAAATTGCACTGATATTAGAAATCAGATGGATTACTTGTCGAGAAAACCAAAGTATTTTAATTAACTGTCAAAATAATTGAAATATAGAAATTTGACTTATTTCAATTAATTTCTAATTCATATGCAAATTCCTTTGAGTTAGATATATGTAAACATATGATATACCATTTCACATGTAAATCCTTCCATTCAAGAAGTTAGCTTATATTCAACCTATAACCAAGCTTATAGTTTGTGTCAAAAAAAGTCTTTGTTCAGATAGTTATCATTGTTTCCAATAGAATACAACATATTCCTCTTTGTTGTAAACAAACTCCACTATAAAGGGATGGGAGACCTTTAACCTTTCTTTAAAAAAGAAAAAAACAATCAACTTGTAAAAACAATTAACTTGGTGGATTATTAGTTCATTTAGTTTACCCTATTTTTTAAATTGCTCTGGGTTTTCCATATTTTTCATTTGTTTTTTCTATTTATTGCTTTTCTAACTTACTTATTTTGATATTTTTTTTTATTGAGTTTGTTAATGAATATTTTACAGATTCTTATTCATTTATTATTTATAAATTTAGTTCCTATTATTTTTTATTTTGAGATTTAATTATAATTTTTGTTGGGATTTTCCGTATGTTTTCTTTTTTCTTTTGTTCCATATTGATGTTTTGGCGGTCTTTTTTATGTTGATTTCATGTTTTTTTTTTTTTAGTTTGTATTTTGTGATACTATTAAATGTTTTTTTTTTTTAATTTTATTTCGGCAATTGTATTCAGCAACAGTATAATCATCTTGTACTCTCCTATCAAACCATTCATTTCAAATTAAAATTCCTCAAATTCTGATCAATTTTTCGGGAATATCCATCGTTCTATTCTTGAATGTATTCTTTGATATTGTATTATAACAAAATTTTCTGCATTGCTATTTTTTTTTTTTGAATGATACTCTAATCATTCGTTTCCAACATTATCTTTAAATAATTATACAAATAAAATAACTTACTGTATAAACTGTTCTTAGTCAGTAATATTTCTGGCAAAAGAACAATCATATGTGGAATAAAGCTTATCAAATTACAAATAATAATTTGAAGTGTGATAAGAATAAATGCACGACCGTAAAGATTGCCTCGACTGAAGCATACGATAGCCATTAGTATATTGCTAATGATACCGTATAACAAGAATACAGGAAACAGTAAAACTACAGTATACTTTGCAGTCATATATTTTTCGTCTCGTATATCGAATATACTCGTTGTATTTGCTCCGTTGCAGTTTAAAGGTAATATTAGAAGTAATGCAACAATACAGTAAGAATAAGTTACCATTTTGCCTATCGATAATCTTTTTCAGAAACGTTTCATTCCACCTCAATTTCAATTATTGCATAATTACGTGTAAATCTCAGTGTTGTAAAATGTATTTAGTTGCAAATGGAAAACACAGAATTGCAATCAATGTGGAAAATGCATTAATATATAATGACACTTATAAATTTTAACTGCGAAATGACTTCCATTTGAGACAACAAATATTAGATTAAAAATTACAAGAGTAAGGAAGGAATTTAGAATGTCTTAATGAAATCATCGATGTAAGTAAAAAAAAGTACATCTTTATAAAGCATGCAATCTGATCAGCTTTTTAAGTTAATCTAAATGAATTTGCTCATAAAGTTTGTCATTTGACTGCATGTGATTCTATTTTCCATTAATATTATCAATAATTAAATAAAACACAAAATGCGTCATTAAAATGATATTGCAGAGATAGTATTATATTATGAAAACAATTACTTTCCATTGTGTTATGACGACTATCATTTGGGGAATGAATATAAAATAATTTTTAGCGCAAATTTTGCTTTATTCAAAGTTATTTAAAGTATATTTTGCTATTTTCTCAAAGGTGAGAATAAATTTGCAATATAAAGTTGAATTGGTATTGATGGGAGATCATAAGTAAGTAATAAATGTTTAATTGAAATAATCGAGTTTAAATATAGATATCTGTAAAAAATCTTGCAATTTTTAGTAGTTTTTGTATCGTGAGCAGAGAAATAAGTTTTAATACTATCAAGTTTTGTTTCAATTAAGTGCTGAAACTATTGAAAAATTGCAGTTCATAAAAAAAAATATAATTTGAACTTACCTGATCATTTTATATGCATTGCATGCGATCTGCTCACATCCGGTCAGGGTCATTTGACAGCTTAAACAAGAAAAAGCTTTAATAATTCACTTTGGAACAATATTTCACTGGCGAAATTAATAAAATTTTTAATTAGTTATAACTTTAATAGACCTTTAACATTAAAAAAAAATATATTAATTACAAATTTAAATATGGATGACAAAATCGAACATCCATGATAATATTCCCTGTATTCTTTTGCGCCCATGAAGATGCGCAATTGTTTTACTTCGCTTGCGTTCATGAAGACAGTTCCATCCTTTTTTTTTCTAGCGAATATCATTTGCTTCCTTTATTGATCTCTAATACATCTCAGTATGACATCCTCGTACTATGTTTATTGTCATTCTTCTGCACAAACGATTTTTTATTTTGTCAATTGTTTTTTTTTAATTGATGCAAATTTTTATTGAATTTTTTAAAAATAAATAATCAAATAAACATTTGCATAGAATCTATCATTTCTGATTTTTAGACAGTTCAGTGGGATTTCTTCAGTAACTTTTTGTTCCATATTCAGTTTATTTTTACCGTCTAATATTTTAATGTCATTATGGCTCAACAAAGAGCGCAATTATGGAATTTGCTTACAAAAAAAGGCGTTGGATTTACTACCTAAACAAGGTATAACTTTTCATCCTTTTAATTAATTATTATTCAATAAGCTTTTTGATTTTAGTCTTGCGGAATTTTTTTCAATTGCTTTTGTAATTGTTGTTGTATATTTATATATTTCATATCGGTGTATTAGTGATAGACGTAGTAGTCTGCAGTGATGGTTTTAAATTTTCTGTGTGGCTGTTTTCTTTTTTATTGAAATTTTATTTTGTCAAATATTGATTTGTTTTTAGTCTATATGAAAATCGAATTCTGACTCAAAACCTGCAAATATTTTCTTAAATATTAACTATAAAATTATAGTTTTAAGACCCATTCTTAATTAATTTTTTTCATTGGGTTTTGCTTTGTTTCCAATGTTTATACATATATTTACAATTTCATAATTTTATTTATTTTTTGGTTTCAAACGTTTTTGCGGCAAATGAAATGAATCTTACAGCGATTTATAAATCGTTATTGTTTTAAAGTTTTCATTTATCCATTGCAAAAAATTGGCTGATAAAGTATTTATATTAAAGCGTGGTTTTATCTTATGATTTATGAGCTTTCGTGAACTGTTTAAAATAAATTTACAGTTTTTAAATTGTTACATAGTCATAGGTCCGTTATAATGTAAGCCAATGATTTTATGTTAAGCACAATTGATTTCATTTTCAAATACTACTCAATAATCAATCTTAGACAATGGTCTAAAAAGGTTTTTTCAGACAACAATCGATATGCTGACAGTAATCCTATAGTAACTTATGAAATTTTGAAATATTTATGATCTATTAGCTTCTTGCTAATTATTTCTGCAATCTCATGCAGAATTTAGTTCAACATTTTTAATAAATGGCCATTTTCAATTCATCGATTTATATCAAAAATTACAACAAATCAGAAATCCTTGCGAAATGAAATCTGTAAATTAATATGTATAAACATTGGAAACAAAGCAAAACCCAATGAAAAAAATTAATTAAGAATGGGTCTTAAAACTATAATTTTATAGTTAATATTTAAGAAAATATTTGCAGGTTTTGAGTCAGAATTCGATTTTCATATAGACTAAAAACAAATCAATATTTGACAAAATAAAATTTCAATAAAAAAGAAAACAGCCACACAGAAAATTTAAAACCATCACTGCAGACTACTACGTCTATCACTAATACACCGATATGAAATATATAAATATACAACAACAATTACAAAAGCAATTGAAAAAAATTCCGCAAGACTAAAATCAAAAAGCTTATTGAATAATAATTAATTAAAAGGATGAAAAGTTATACCTTGTTTAGGTAGTAAATCCAACGCCTTTTTTTGTAAGCAAATTCCATAATTGCGCTCTTTGTTGAGCCATAATGACATTAAAATATTAGACGGTAAAAATAAACTGAATATGGAACAAAAAGTTACTGAAGAAATCCCACTGAACTGTCTAAAAATCAGAAATGATAGATTCTATGCAAATGTTTATTTGATTATTTATTTTTAAAAAATTCAATAAAAATTTGCATCAATTCAAAAAAAACAATTGACAAAATAAAAAATCGTTTGTGCAGAAGAATGACAATAAACATAGTACGAGGATGTCATACTGAGATGTATTAGAGATCAATAAAGGAAGCAAATGATATTCGCTAGAAAAAAAAAGGATGGAACTGTCTTCATGAACGCAAGCGAAGTAAAATAATTGCGCATCTTCATGGGCGCAAAAGCATACAGGGAATATTATCATGGATGTTCGATTTTATCACTTTATCGTTCTCTTTCCTATATTAGAATATGACAGAGCCATTGCTATTATTAAACATTTTGTTTGGATTTTTTTTTCAGTATCAGCAAAGTTCAATTTGATTATTTTTTGCATATTCATTCATCCATCTTCCATTTAAATCCTTTATTTATCTTCTTTTTTCATTCATTTATTTCTTCTGCTTCATCTTACATTTGTTGATAATCAATATGTTATCAAATATAGATTAATATATTGTTTTTAAAGTAATTCCCAGTAAATAAATTCATTACAACCGATTCTATTGCACAATACACATTTTCGAAAGTAGCAAAAGAGAAGCAAAAAAAACGAAAAAAGGGAAAAAAAAACTATTGGCTGTGTCATTTTTGGACGCTGTAAAATTTGTGCTACACTAGCTAACACATTTGTTTTAAATAAATTTTAAATTACAACCAAGAAGATTTTGTTAATTAAATTCCTGCATTTTTTCAACAATATTAACAACGAAATTGAAATCAATTTTAGATATATTATTTATGTATTTGTTGTTAACAAATTGTAACATTGCAACGATTGCAGATAAGCTTAATTACAATTGGAAAATGAGTGTTAGATAAATGATTGTTGATAATGTAATGATAATGCAATTTTTAATCAGTATAATCTTTAGTTTTACAATTTATAGATTTAATACAAAATTATTCCAATTTATTATAAATTTGTTTCGATTTTCCGGACAATAAATTTTATTATATTTCTAGATAAAACGACAAATGTAAGTTCTTTAAACTCATACTAATTTCAGATAAAGGAAAAATGAAAAATTCATAATACATCCAAATAAAGCAATAAATTCATGATGTTCCTGAATGAGTTGATACGTTCATGACAAATTTATTATCCGGAAAATTTGGAAAAAAAAAGAAAATCCCATAATAGAATCAAAAATACAAAATACATACTAAAATTTCATAAAAAATTTAATAAAAATTAAAGAATTCTAAGAAAACAAAAATTTTTTTTTTCACATATTAGTTTATAAGTTTATCATCAACTATTATTCCTATTGATTCATTTGCTCATTAAAAGTGCTTATACATTAATAAATTGCATTTTGAACACAAAGGATTTCATCTATTGTACGGTTCAGTAAGCCAAAATTTTAATTAGTGATAAAAAAACTTTTAATTATCACTTCAATTTCAATATTTTAATTAGTGGTAAAAAAAGTAATGATACTCTTTTTAAATCCTTTCTTTTTTTTTGATATTATTTTTACTAATAATTATAGTTATCAAATTTTTTATTTTATACGTCATTTTTTTTTGTGATTCAAATTCTGTTTAAGAAATTGAATTTTGTTGCATTACATTATCGCAACAGTTGTAAATCAACTTGTTAAGATTTATTTTTTAAAGATTTAATAAGATCACATATGAAAAAAAAAAACGAAAAAACGAAATATTTTATTTTAAATTATATTCTAAACATATTTTTTAAATATATATTTTAAATATTTTACAATATTTTAAATTTCAGATTCTAAGATTTAGCATATGTACATTTCGGTTGCAATATATATCAGATCTATATGTTAATAAGTTGATAAATGACTAATATTAAGTGTTTCACAAAATTTGTAACTATATTTAATGTTTATGGTTTTTTCCTCCAATATTTAAAAGTAAATCAGACATTCAGTAATATAACTATACTCAAAGATGATTTCGAACAATTAGAATGAAAAAAAAAGGATAATTATGTAGTGAAATTGTATTGAAAAAGAAATTAAAATTATCACCATAAACATATATTATTATTTCAATTGACGAAGCTTTGACAATGATATATAATTAATATTTAGATTAATAAATTCTCCATTTAATTACTCATACTCCTCATCAAGTATAGTATCAGTGTAAAATTTTATAATAGCATGATCATTTCCGGTAAGCAATTTCAAAATTTAGTTTTCCATAATAAATCGGATAATTTTACTCGGTGATTCATAAGATATTCCTATCATTTCCATGATATTTTTGACAAAATTTTTTCAATTTTCAAAATATTCCAACATTCATGATAATATTTTATTTCTGGAGTGAAAATAATATCACATATAGAAATTTTTATATTATCATTTTAATCATTTACATTTTATACTAACCTCATTTTCATTTCTATTTTTTCTTTAAATTATAACTGCTTTACATTATCGAACAATTATTAATCATACATGCTCATTTCATTCGTACTGAAGCATTTCGAATTGTAATACCATTTACGATAGCACCATCATCATCACTCAAATTATCTCTTCTTTCAAAAATCTTTCTATATTTGTGATTTCAACTTTTTTTTTCAATTAGTGATAAAACTGAAAAATTTTACAGGTAAACAACTTATTAAGACGACATAAATTTTGATCTCATCAAAACGAAAGATATAACCAATATTAATGTCATCCAGTACTATTATCAAAATGACCCAATTTTAAGATAAGCAACTAATTTCACTAATAAAATTTCATTTTTACTCACTAAAAATAAAAAAAAAATTAGGGAATATACTATTTCTTGCAATTATGCAAAATATTAATTAGTTTACACTGAGATAATTGAAAAATTGAAATCGTTAAAGTTCATTATAATTAATCCAACTTTTAATTGCTCTAGCATACCATGTTTTACATATATTAAAATTAGCAGTGGTGTTTGAATGAAGATCAGTAATCAAAGATGACAGAGGTGATAAGAATGATAAGGTTTGCTAGGCTAACATAACTAGGCTCAATTTGTTAACTTAATTATTGTCACACACATATCTCTTCCCACTCCTTTTTTTCTTTTTCTTTTTTTCACCCTTCTTTCATCTCAGACATTTGTTCGTCCAGTGAACATTAAAACTGCCTCAAAAGAGTGCTATTATTTTCCCAACAAAAATTTTATTGATTTCATCTCTCTCTCTCTCTCCCCTCTTCTCTTTCTTTCACTCTCCCTCTCTCTCTATTTATTTTCACAACTAAGGGCAAAAAAAAGAAAAAAGAACTGATCAATCAGTCACCTCTATTCATCACTTCCTTTCATCATATCTTCACAACATACATATATATACACGTAGAGAGAGAGAGAGAGAGGGAGGGGAGAGGAGAAGAAAGAAAGGAGGAGAGAGAACGAGAGAGAGAAAAAATGAAAAAGTGGAAAAAGTACGAAGAAATCCCTGAAGAATCCCTCTATCTCCCCACCTATCACATTCGTTGCGTGTATGTGTGTGAGTATGTGCGTGTGCGTGTGCATGCGTGCATGCGTGTGCGTGTGCATGCATGCATGCGTGTGCGCACAATGTCTACGTGAATGTATATGCATCGAATGAAAGTGCTAAGGGAATTGTCGTGCTATTCGATACGATCCTTTTTCTCCTTCTCATTTCATTACTAATTGCAAAGCGAAAGTACACCTCTAACATTGGAACAATTTCTTCTGTTATTACCATCTGTACACTTCCAAATGTCCCAATTCCTAACCATTTTCCCATACCCTACTACCATTTCTGCCAATGGTACCTCTCTGCCCGGTGGTATCCACCTAGCACCTACCTACCTACCTCTATCTACTTATCACTTTTCGTCTACCCAATAAACATCCAATCTATCTATCGATTAGTGACTCTCATTTGCCTATTTTCCACCCACGCTCGTCTATTATCGGATCATCTATTTTCGTCTGCCATCTTCATCCTTATCACCCACACTCATTTATCTCTCAATCACTGATGCGTTTACTGATTTATTATCCACTCTCCTGTCCATTGGTCACAACTCGTCCACCCACTGGTCACTGACCATTGATCGCTCACCTGTCCATCCACCGATCACCTCATCCATCCATGAAGCACCCACTCGCCCACCTACCAATCATCCACTGCTTCACCCATCAAGCGATTCACCTATTAGCAACCACCCACTCACCGATCTATGGAGCACCCAGTAGCCCACTCCGGTCCGACTACTCACCGACCCATCCGTCAACCACCCACCTACCTATTAATCACCACTCGTTCATCCATGGAGCACTGACCCGGCCACCAATCGATCGGCCACCTGGCGATTCTCTTGTTGACCACTCACTCGTCCATCCGTGAAGTACCTACCCCTGATCCATCGTCCACTTATGGACCATAGGTCTCCAATCAATCATCTGCCTAACTTGAAGCAATTGTTGTTCCATTGTGTCAGTGAGAACATCTTTTCAGTGGAATTTCTCTCTTCCCTGTGTTTAGACAATCAGTTTTGCATTACTGTTGTTGTCCTCACGAATTTGTGCTTACTAATAATATTTCATAAAATAATTGAGCCATTCTCGTTTTCTTTTTTTTTTTTGTATTTTTCCTTTTTTTAAGTTTTTTTTTTCTTTTTTTTTTTCAAATGTTGTTTGTTTAATTGGTTTTCACATAAAGGTTTTTTTCTTTTTGTTAGTTGGTTATAAAGTAATGGACATTTTTTTAATGATTTTTTTTCCTCAAATTTTAACTTTATAATTTACACTCCACTCTTACTTGTTATTCTCGATATTCTTATGGATGATGGAGACAAACAGTATGGTATTCTTATATATTTCCATGGAAAATAAAGATTTTCAGATGTAGATTTAGTATATTATCGGAAATTAATTGCATCAAATTAAGTCTTTTTTTCATTCTTTGCTTTCTTTTTCTTTTTCTTTCAAATTCTTCATGTAAGAAGATTATATAGAAATGAAACTTTTGAGTTATGATTTTTTTGCCTTTTAAATAAATTAATTTTTGATTATATCGTCAAATACTGTTATGAATATATGCAATGAAACGTAGCAAATTACTTTCTTTCCTGCTAAAAGACAAATTACAGTGGAAAGTGCAAATTTTTTTTAAAACAAAAAATTAGTTGAAAATGATTTAAAATTTATTTTTCTTTGCTTTTTTCCTCCGTCTTTCTTCTTCGTCTCACTTTCTCTCTCCTCTGTTTCTATGACATAACGATGAATATGTTGTAAGGAGATAAAAATACTCTGTGCACTAACAGTATGAAAATCTTCCTATGTTTACTTGTAGTTTCTTCTTGTGCATTATGAAACTGACATACTACTCGGTCAATAATATTTTCTAGCTTCTTTTCTTTTCTTGTCAAATTTCAGATAATAGACTCGTAAAATGCGTAGAGTTTAAAAATTCCATGGGATAAAGATATTGTTATAAATGAAATTTCTTATACGATCGAATGAATGGGATGGACAAATTTGATGTAGTTATAAAATTAATTGAAATGTTGGAAAGCAAGTGGTACTAGCTATTTTTGTTTAGTTGATTTAAAATTCAATAAAATATTTGGATAAGATGAAAGAAATAGTAGGTGAATTTGTTCACTAGCAGCATTTCAAATTGTTGAACAAAACTACCAGGACAATATATTTGTGTAAAGTTAAAAAGAGGAGATACTTATAATTTTAAACCGATATCAATTAAATGTGATTTGTGATACTTACATTAGTTGACAGTTTTATCTCACTGTTATTTGCATAATCTTTGCTACTGATATGGAAAAGAAATCGTATTAATATGTATGCATAAGCAAAATAAAAGTCTCCTTTTCATAGTGTTTTTCATTTTAGTGGCTTTCTCTCCGAATAAGCAGCGCATCGTCAACTATGCCGATCACACGTGTTCACGCTCGTCCCATTTATGATTCACGTGGTAATCCAACCGTCGAAGTTGATTTGACCACCGACAAAGGTCCAGTATATTTGTTATCAGAATCAGTTTTTTTTTCTTTTAATTTCGTGTAAGTAAAGCTAACCGGGATAATATTACCTACAAGATGAATCAAAAAATTCCCATTTTTTTTTCAAGATTTCTCTAAAACGAATTTCTTCTATGGCTAGTTAAGAAGTATCTAGGCATGAAAAGAGTACGGGATTCAAGAGATTACAGTAAATTACAAACTTGTAAATGTGACTATGCCAATGTAAATTTAGATGAACGATGGCCAATTAATCATTTTGATAATTGAAACGAGTCGAAAAATTTAGAATTAAAAAAAAGATTTCCAATTTGATTTTTGCACAGAACATAATATTTACTGCATGACTTATATAGTTGTATAGGTTTTTGCAATACTGAAATTTGTTGATTATCAAAATTAACAACTCACTTGAAAAATGAGGAATAATCTCAACCATTATATACCTTTTTTTTCTCTGCCTCGATGGAGTCTGAATGATATTAATACTCGACATTTCTCTCTATGAGTTATACATCATCTAAAACTGTTTCTGAGTTAGCTTCAAATAAGCATTTGAATGCAGTATCGTTTTCTTTGTAATATCTTAATTTTAGGTATTTTCCGTGCGGCTGTACCAAGTGGTGCTTCAACTGGTGTACATGAAGCACTTGAACTTCGGGACAATGATAAAGCTGTGAATCATGGCAAAGGCGTTTTGAAAGCTGTAAGAAATGTCAACGAACATATTGGACCTGCTCTAGTTGCTAAGGTAAGCTATGCTTTGTTTTGTCTTGTATGTGTATATTATGATTTTCTTCAATGTAGCTACTGGAAGTTCTGTTCTTAATTACTTAGCTGAGAAACATTTGCTTTTGCTACAACTATTGCATCTATTATTTCAACTATCAAATTTAAACATTTTTGTAACGATAAACGATGTTATCACTCATAATACCTATTTGGTAAGATATTCCAAACTGTAAGTCAACATTTGTCATTTAAAGGAAAAAATTCAATAATCATTAATATGCCATATGCAGAATAAGATGGAATTATAAGTTTATAGTGATAGTAACTGAGAAGAAGGAAACTATTCTTTTTTTTTTTTTTTTCAGAATTTTTGTCCAACTCAACAACGTGAAATCGACCATTTTATGCTAGAACTCGATGGAACCGAAAATAAAGGTAGCATTTTTCTTTTTACTGAAACTTTTTAATCCATAAAAGATTTGATTCAAATACTTCAGATTCAATTTTAACAGATATATGACGATATTCAGGTGGTAATTGAATGGTTTAGCTTGAAAATGGAAACTTTATTGTCCTTGAGATAAGGAAACTTCCTATGCAAATGCGATGTTTAGTTTTTTTTTTTTTTTTTGAATTTGAAGGCTTATTTTTATTTGCTATTCTTACACACAGTCTTGCAGCAAAACTGGGTGCCAATGCAATTTTGGGTGTTTCATTGGCGGTTTGCAAAGCTGGTGCAGTGCATAAAGGTATGCCGTTGTATAAGTATATAGCAGAATTGGCTGGTACCAAACAGATTGTTCTGCCAGTTCCTGCTATGAATGTTATCAACGGTGGTTCTCATGCTGGTAATAAACTGGCAATGCAGGTAACTATTAAATTATTTATTAAATCATTTTGAGTCTTTTCAGATTATCATAATGCTGTTACTTTTAAACAGATTTTCATTTAAATCATGACAAGAACAAAATATTTGATAGTGCAATTTTTTCCTTTTTTTTTCGTCGCTAGATTATTTACACTGGAAACATCCGCCTATTTTAAGTGAATTACGAAAAAAAAAAAAACTATCAGAATGCTATTACTTCTAGTCTTATGTTGACATTCTCTCGAATCGTTTACGGTTTATAATCAGTCAGGTTATCCTGTTAGCTGTTTATATTGTGTGTTGGTAGATAGAAAAAGTGATTTCGATTTCAGGAATTTATGATCATGCCTATTGGAGCTAGTTCATTCAGTGAAGCAATGCGCATGGGTTCTGAAATTTACCATTACTTGAAGGTTTTGTATTAATATATATTAATTAATTTTAGTCCATATTTGACATAAACATACTTGTTCTTCGATTCTTGAAAAGAGCTTTTCTAACCTCTTAACATATTTTCACTACTAACTTTGTTGTTTTGAATGCGGTTTCAGTTGATGAAGATCTGCACGTATTATAAATACTGATTTAAGTGTATATTTAATTTTTCTGAATATTATCTTACATTTAATTTTCATTAGTTTTCGTTTTTTTTTTTTTTTTTTTTTCAAATGTAACTGGCACAGTCAGAATATAATGTAGAAATAAAAGACTGCGTATTTTAAATTTAAGAGTTTAACAGAGTTGCATCTCAAACATTTACAGGCAGAAATCAAAAAACGATACGGTCTCGATGCAACAGCAGTGGGTGATGAAGGTGGTTTCGCTCCTAATATTCAGGATAACAGGGAAGGTCTTGATTTATTGAATACAGCAATTGCAACAGCTGGATACACGGGAAAAGTAGCAATTGCTATGGATTGTGCCGCATCGGAATATTATAAGGTAAGTATTGAATTAAATAATATTTCAGTAATGTTAGGATGATTTGTAAGATTCATTTGATTATTCTTGCATTATTTGTCATGATTACTACAAAAGGAGCAATCTTTTAGGAATCAGCTAAGCTGTACGATTTAGACTTCAAAAATCCAAACTCGGATAAAGCCCAGTGGAAAACTGGCGATCAAATGATGGAAATCTATCAATCCTTCATTAAGGTTTTCAATTTTAGATATTAAATGAATTGTTAAGTAAGATCGATTGCATGATTAAATATCATATTTCGTATGCGTTGTCAAATACGAAAAAAAAAAAGGGCATGCGAATAGCTCTAGTAATTCATTATAATGGAAATATTTTTTTTTCCTTTTTTATTTAAGGAATGAGTTGAGTTTTGTTCAAAAGAATAAAGTTTTTTAAAAATTTCCGAATGGTTTTTCAAATTAGCTGGAATTTCATCTCATAAATTCTTCATATATTATGGTTGATTTATTGTGACTATCTTTCAGGAATATCCAGTTGTATCGATCGAGGATTGGTTTGACCAGGATGACTGGGAAAATTGGACCAAAGCATTGGCTAATACGCATATTCAAATTGTTGGCGATGATTTAACTGTTACGAATCCTAAGAGAATTGCTATGGCTGCTGAGAAGAAAGCTTGCAACTGCCTGTTGCTCAAGGTTAATTAATTAATTTTGTCTACCATTTCATATAATGGTAAAAAATTCCTGTGTTAAGAAGTTTCGAAACATTACTTTTTTTTTTATTTAACATGTTCTCACTTTTTTAATAATTTGTTTTCTTTTGTTTCATTTTAAAGTTACA